AGTTTAGAAGCAACAAAGCAATTCCATGAAAAAAACTGTTTCTGTAAGTCTGCTTTAAATCTCTTTTTCCCCAAAGGAAGATTGGAGGAGACTGGGATTTTAAAGGACACTGACGGAGCACAGGAGCAACAGCCCAGGGCAGACAAGGTCATGAGACTTGTGAGCTAGTGCCTGTCTCATCACCCAACTGCATGGGTCATTCCAAGCAACCGTAGACTTGCAGCTCTAACTCCTGCCAGCATGCAGGATCCCTAACTGCATAGTGCACTACACCAGGGCAGACTGGCTGACTCACCCACTCGGAGCTCCTGCCCAAAGACGGTCTTCTCCCCCAGGGCCGAACAGTTCCAGCGTCCATAGCGGAACTGGTACTGGCACTCGTTGATACCCAACTGCGCACCCTCACCGATGACAATGATGGCATCCGGGCGGCTCTGGCAGATTGCCCGTTGCCGAGGGGCCAGGCCAGGGATCTTGTTGCAGATGATATTGGCGCCCAGGGCCACCACCGAGGACAGGGCCCTGGGGAGAGAAAAGGAAGAATGGGCACTGAGGATTACCATGAGTATAGATAGTGTTCTGGGGAGGAGAATGTGCATTCAGGATTGGGACTAGTGTGGATAGCATCCACAGAGATAAATGGACACTCAGGATTGGAACAAGTGTGGATAGGGTCCTAGGATGAAGAATTGGCACTCAGGATAACAATGAGTGTGGATAGGGTACTGGGAAGGAAAATAGACAGTCTGGATTAGAACGAGTGTGGATTGGTTCCTGAAAAGGAGAATGGACATTCAGGATCGAGACTAGTATTGAGGGGTCCTGGGGAATACAATGGGCACTCAGAATTGGAATGAGAGTGATAGGGTACTGGAAGGGCACTCAACATTAGCACCAATGTGGGCAGGGCTTCCAAATTGTACTACTTGTGCCACAGGTCACCACCACTATAAACAAAAGTCGCAAGTCCCACTTTCAGAGTGTCCAAACACAATGTCCCAATAGACTAACTAACAGACTAAATGGAATCATTTTGTATTAACTTCGTGCTTTAGAGATAAATCATAAGTATCACAAAATGTATCAGTGTACAACATGACAGCAAAGGCAAGTATCACTTCAATTTCCAGAAATCCTGATTCGTTTGGAAAAAAGAAAAAGAAAAAAAGTTACTAACTTGTAATGAAACTGCTAACTATCGATATATATCTATCTCTGAAAGTCTTTCGAAATTGAATATCCAGCCCCAGGGGAGTTTCTAGCTATTTTAAAGTTCAGGGGCTAAGTCAAGTTTACCTGGGGCTTGACGTGAAAAAAGACTGGCATCGGAGCTAGGCTCAAAATACTCGGGGATATAACCCCGAGTGATCGGACCTAACAACGCCCATGTCCAGCCCTATAATAGAACAATCTCGAAAAACACGAGGTGTGTTAAAACGGGTGCTCGGAAAAAAAGAAAACATTACTTATCTGCATACGGACGCTACATCTCCTTGGCGGTTTGGCATCGTCACGCTGAATCGAAGGTTTTATGCCAAGACTTAGGTAACATTGCCGGGATTGTTTCCAGCAAAGCCGCGCAAGTCGAGGGCGGTTTTTTAAAAGAAATTCGTATGCGTGCGTCTCACATTCAGACGCGGTTCGTTTCTCTGCCGAAACAAACGCCCGAAAGCAAAAATGTTACCCCGTATAATTTGAAATGTATGTGTTTATAGCTCACGTGCGGCGTAATAAACACCCCATAAATACATCGGTGCTGTTTTAGACTTCCATGCACCTTCCTTCTCTGCGAGAGCTTTTCAGAATGCTTCCTCCTTCTTTATTCTCAGTCTCCTAAAGATCTCACCGCCACTTCCCAAAACACCACCCATTCACAAGACCACGAACATGGGCAAAACCTGATACTGACAGAGAACTTTGGATGATGGTGACATGCAGAGCGGAGCCGCTTCTCTTGGGTTTGATGATCCTGGTGCACAAGATCAGTGTATTACTGCTATTGAACCGGACATTAGTCATTGTGGACATGTGAGTCATTGTGGACAGCAGGGTCCAAAGACCAACTAGAGTCAGGGTGTGTATGTGTCTGGGGGGGGGGGGGATTTGTGTTGATACAGGTGCCATCTCAGAGGAACAGAGACGTAGGAATCACACGAACGTCACAGCAAGATAGATATCTGAAGAATACTAAGGCGCTAAATAGAACTGTATGCTCGCCCCTCCTCTCAATGTCAACCCACCACACCCCATCCTAAAGATCATGATGAGAAAACCACCTCCCCACCCAAAGAAAAAAAGGACAAAATGTTAGCTGCAAATCGGGAGAGAACAAGGGGTGATATAATTAACTGTTTGCACCCTGGCACAAGAAAATAAGCTCAGGAATGTAACACCTAAAGTCAGTGCATTTGACATGTGTTTATCAAACTGTATAATTACTGAGTCTTTTCAAACATTATTATGTTGCAATCGTGTTTAGATGTTTTCATCCAGAAAAACACTTACAGTTTAGCTCTGCCAATTTGTTCAAATAATTTAGATAAATTCTTCCACTCAAAGGTATAACATCAGCTTCGCTCTTGGGAATTCAATATGCATCTTTGTAGCTACTGATCTAAATTTCTGTTTGTGTGTGTTTGTGCCCGTGTCTATGCGGTTTTGGGTGGACTGAATGGAATAATAGAACGAGACCTACCAAGCACTGGCAAAACGATGGGGGTTTTAGCAAATGCTAAAAAGCCTGCTTTCCATTCCAAACATTACGACATTAGCGCACCTCCACCTCATATGAATTACTAATCTCTGTCAGCCGGCATGCATGTTATTGGGTTTCATGATGTGCGCGCCCTAGTTTGGAGGGTGCTACAGTATACTATACATAGAGCAGGGTTCACCTCTGTGCTCATCTTCAATGCTTCTGAATCTACTTAATTAACTTTTAATTATGTACAATGACTGTAAAAGTACCTAAAGATGTTCCATAGTTTACCTGTTAGGACAATGTACCATATTTTCAAATGCTTTTAAAGCTTTCAGGGTATTAAATAATGTACAAAATAGAGGAACGTAATTATTTCAGTGGCGAAAATACAACACAGAGGCATCTAGAGTCAGTTGGCTCAAATTAGAAAATAGCTTCTCACAAAAAATTAATAAAATATAATCCTAGTTATAATTCAGAGGAACATAAAAACACATTAGTCATCTGAAATGTTGGCTGATTTATGTAATATGAATTACACACTGCACAGTCATTTAAAAATATTTCCTTTAAAGATAACGCCGTTTTATAGAGCTGAAGGGTGTTTTATTTTGTCAGATATTTCTGTTTGTCAGTTTTAATGTTTTTAATTATTATTATTATTTTTTATTTCCCCTCTGTATCGGCTCATTGACCATACCGTCGTTGTAAAACAAAATTAAGTTCTGTGCGTGGATAAAATACGGTTAATAACAAAAGCTCACACATCAAATTTTACTTACATTAAGATATTTCCATGTTAAAATATCGTTAGATATCATTAAACTACGTAGGCCTAAAACATAGGTACCGGAACTTGTCTGTTAGGTCAAAGCCATAGGCCTGCTACCAAAATCGTTTCAGATCAGAAGTATGACAGGAATCTGGCACAGATGTCTATTTTCATAGGCATATAGAAAGGAAATGGATTTATTATGATTACAAAGTTTGGTCAATTTTACACAATTACTGCTAAATAATTATAAGCTTTCATACCTATTACGCCTTTCAAAAACCAAGACCTTCGGGACTTTTTAAGTCTTAAAAGGAAAGCTGAGCTGTTAAATAACGAAACTGGCCTGTTAGTAAAACACCTTTTATTACTGCGGTACTTCTTTATTACGGTATGTCTGGGGGATATCCAGGGCAGTGCGGGTGAAAATTTCTGAAACTGACACTGACACTTAACAGGGTATCGGGGTTTCAAATCCCCCTTTCTGACAATATGCAAGACGGGTTCAATAGGATTTAGTTCCTTGACTCGATTTTTGGTTTTGAACTCTTGGTTTTGATTCTCTAGGTTTTTTTTTTGTCTTTGTTTCCGTATTTAACATTTTGAAATCGGTGAAGGCCGAATCCTGCATTGGAGATATAAAATAAAGATGTGATAACTCACTGACCACTGTTTACTCCTAAGAACTTTCAGCTAAAAAGTAATACGCCGCCAAGCTACATTACACCAACTGACATTTTTATAGGCGTTTGGGTTCCCAGGGGACACCTGCAAACAATTTAATTAATTTGCAAAACAACAATCAGGGTTGCCAGTTGGTGCATTTTCTTAATTCTTTAACTGAAAATTCTTAATTCTTTTGGTGCAGAAATTAAATTATTGCTATATATGGGGGTTTATTACTGTACTTAACGCTCTGTGAAATTACCAGATCAGCTCTATCAGATCAGCTCTGTCCATAACAGGGGTCCCTTAAGCCAGTAAGCTTGATTTTAAATGTTATAATGACAGCGCTTGGGTACCGTTCGGGGTTTTGCGCACTCATCCCCGGCGCTCACTCGCGTTCTTTGCGAGCAGAAACTTGATAAAGTATTACTAGCATATATAACTGCTGAATCCGTATTTACAATTGTAGTATTTTCCCTTTCTCTTCAATAGACATTAGTCATTTATTAATTCAGAGTTTTATTATTATGGTATCCATGGGCGAACGTTCAATTGCCGTCTTTTATACTCTAACCCCTGTCACTTACCCTATTTTAATTTCTCCTATAGTGGTCCATAAGCGGCCAATTTAACCATGGGCGTCCGGGGGTAGCACATTCACTGAGGAGTATTCATTCCCTCCTTTGCTCCCGTGGAGCGTACGATCTTCATATCCACATACAAACTGGACACTTCTTACGGCGACCACATTAAAAATTAAAATACTGATACAACTACTGAAAGCATCTGCCTACAGAATAAACCTCAACAGTATGGCCATTAAACTGCACAAATAAATAGACTAAATTACACCCACGCAAACCGACTATTTAATCTGCTTTGTTTGCCTTTTTTCACAAATTAACCCTCCATATACATATCTCTGAAAAGCAATCCCAATTCTATACTTATCCAATTAAAGCAAGTTTATTTGTATAGCACATTTCATACCATTAGACAAATTAAAGTGCTTTACATAAAAAGTACAAAATACAATAAAAGGAAGACATACATGAGAAATTATGTTTTATGACGAATTAGAGAAACGGCAAAAACTAAAAGTCTGTGTTAACTTAAATTAATAGCCAGATCAACCGTCACATCCCGAGTTATAAATTAAACAGAATCGCATCGACTTTCTCAATTAGCCTATAGCTCACAGTACAGAAAGAATTTATGTTAGGCCTACGTCTATAGCGTGAAATACCAAACAATTCAACGTTCCTTTGGGTTTTCACTTAAGTGAAATTAAAATTGTACGTTTTGCATATCCGATCGGTGGTCTTTGTGGTTTCGAGTTTCAAGGTAAATATCCGTACATTTAAATGTAGCAAACCTAAAATTATGCCTTCTGTGTTATCCCAAGGAAGTATTAAAATAATTTACCATATTCTCACAGAATAAAAAAGTGAGATCAAATGAGCTGCATGAGATCAAATCGTATGAGCAGCATTTAACAGAATAATGTACACACAAAAGATTGCAATAGTTTGCCCTGGAAATGTTTGGTCATTTATTCAAATTTGTCATTTTCTGCAGGATAATCTGGGTCTGTTTGAACTGATGAGTGGGATGATAACCGAGATTGTACATGATTGTTTCAGAGCTGGTCAAGGCTACAACACATGTGCTCCACAGTAGCTGACATAATTAAGACTAGTTTTTCTTTCGATTAAACATGAACCGTGTTTGTTCCCAAACAAGGTAGGTTCGCTCTAACAAATACTGGCATTAGAATTACATTTATCCTGCCACTAAAACAAACCATTTCCTGCGCGGGTTTTGACCAGGAACCCACAAGAGACGCAAAACGGGTATACAATTAATGATAGGGATATGTTATTCTTTACTAAAGTATGCGTTTAAATTACTGAAACCTTCTGGGTATTGCTAGGTGGAAAGCAATATTCAGCCGTGTGCCAGGCAGTGAGCGGTACTCCTAAATTAATTTTAATTTAACTTCATGACATTAAAATTACATGCTGCGTTTCACCACTTTCAGACTACAAGCAGATGTTCGTGAGCTGGTTGTGTATGTTCCCCATGCCATTTAGGATTCTATTATTTATTATTCTAATCTGAGGTTTTAAAGTATATGGTTTTAACAAAAAAGAACAACGCTAACTAAACGCAGCTGAAAATCGCCGCAAGTCGTCCGCACTCTCAGCAGCGCGTTATTTACCGTGCAGGTGCGTTTTTATAGCGCCATATCCATAACAGGGGTCCCTTAAGCCAGTAAGTTTGATTTTAAATGTGATAATGACAGCGCTTGGGTACCGCTCGGGGTTTAGCACACTCATCCCCGGCGCTCACTCGCGTTCTTTGCGAGCAGAAACATGATAAAGTATTACTAGGATATATAACTGGAAAGCTGAAGGCGCGTTTGAGGCGCAGCGAAAACCCACATCCTCTCTTTTTATATTCTACGCACGTTTCAAACTACCCCTTCCCTAAAATGTATCAAATTTGCTGTAAGCCGAATAAAGCAGGTTTGAATTATAAAAACAAACAATGGTATGTAGTTTCTAATGCACAAACCAAAGCTAAACATAGTCGTGCCCACTTTTTAACTGTAACCATAAGCCGCATCTATTTTAGTATCAAGTCTGGGGTCTGAGCATAAAGATAAAACGAGCAGTTCGGTAATTATTTTAAAAGGCGAAAATAAAACTAGCTGTATCGAGATGGCCGGGATCTTTTAATTCATTCATAACGACGTAATAAGTGACGAGTTGTGTCAATCAGACACAGCAGGTCAGTGGCTGATGTTTTATGACCGCTTTTCCAGACGTAGCTTTAAATTATATCCTCAAAGAGCGGCGTGTAAGTAGATGGTGATGTAATGCACACAGAGTAATCTTCATTCACAAGTTGTGACAGGTAACTTTAACTGGAGAAAACCGCAGAGTCCGTGACTATTATAAATACCCTATTTTTATGTGGTGTGTTCTGAGTGTCCGTTATTTTCTAGCCAAGCTTCAACCTTTTACAACTACTATTATAGAATTGTACAACACTGCCAAACTAGTCAGAGAAGCTACTTTGTGCATTTCAAACTGATTTGTTAAACATAATCTTTAATGACTTTCACAACCAGAAGGAAAAATGGTAAATTAAGCTTTCCTGCTTGTTTTGCGATGTTGCGTTTCCAAATTAATTTCAACAATGGCAAAAACCGGTGATGGTAGAATATTACTGTCATAGTAATTTATTGCCATACAGTAACACTAATGAAAAATAATGGTCACCTGTTAAAAATCAAAACATGAAAGTATACATATATTCGTTGCAAATAAATAGTGCTCTCGGAAGCACAAATTAAACCAGAACATATGCTATATAAATACTCTTAATATAATAACTCTTAACTCATTAATCATAAAATACGGGCAGATTAAAAGCTCATATAAATTACTGTTTTGATATGTAAATGAATAGATCATTTGGTCTTCAAAATATATATCTAAATAATTATTAAACGTAATTTGCAAAAACTGTTTTTAAAGAATTACATTCACCAATCGCCCTATATCTATGTTGTTTAACAGAATGCACACTTCATATAGTCCTATGCGGTACAGGAAAAGCAGTTTTTTTTGCACATAATCAGTCGCATTAGTTAATAGCTGGGTATAGGCCAATATAAAAGCAGGAGAAAAGAACTGAAATTCTTCGAGTCAACTTACAGGTAACTTCCACTGGTAAGGATGAGGAAGATCTGCGGGTAGTACACTGACAGCAGTACACTGCGTGACGAAAAGATGATCATGATGGCATTGAACAAGCAGCCAACTTCTCACTAAGGTATTTCTATGTAAAATCCTTATTTTGCTGACTTCCCGCTTCAGTCAGACGCGCTTGCGGTGTCTGGTCGGCTCGCCGGTACTATGCAGCTTCGAGCTCCCACGGCCATGAGTGTGCTGCGGGCGCCGATATTGAGTCTGTCATCTCTCGGCGGGTGGAGGCAGTTGCAGAGTGTGGTTCCTAAGCCGGAATGATGATGGCTTAAGGGATTTTTTGGATGGCAGAGCGTTACTCTGCTCTTATAGGAGACGTGGCTACCATTGGGCAGAGAGACACAGCTATCCGCCCACTTCTGTAACACGGCGGGGACAATGGGGCGACACTCGTCTGTTCATCGAAACGACGACTTTTCATTCATGTGACGCAACTGGCAAGTAAACAGAAGGGTAGCGACGCGGCGGCTTTACCTGCTGAGCACCGTTAACTCGACACCAGCTGACTTTCAAGGCTCCGCGCTGTTGACTTTTTGAAATATGCACTTGTTACTTTATTCCATATAGGCTATCCACAACTGCGTGAACCTAACGCAACCGAAACAACTCCCGCTACACATAATAACGTGGTATATAATTCACGGCACTGTTTGTTTTATGGTGTGATACTCTTGATCAATTCTGCTACCCGGTTCCGAAAGCAAAAGCCCCACGTTGTTGTTACTGAAACTCATCTGCGCTAGTTTTCAGGTGATATTAAAGAAAATGACAGACATGACAGACAGTCCCTGCATCAACAGAACATCCTTTTTTTCCGAAACGAGCGCACCGGGATCACTCTGATAAATCCTCAGGGCACTGAGTCGCTAGGTGCGATCCTTATGATCAATCATTAGATTATCACTACCGGCTTAACTATTATAAATGAGGTGGACGAAAATCCAGCAGTGAGTTCGGAGCCCAAGGACGTCACACGAAAATGTGTAGACTTAAACTCCCCCGCCCCCTAGCCTTTTCTTGGTTACTGCAAGGTGAGGTATCCTACTGGAAATGTACCATACTCTTTAGAAATTATTGGATATTTTTCTGTCATTTTGAGAAACATAATAATGGACGCACATTTAAGTTGCTTCTTTGAATTTGTTGTTTATAGTTGGTATACAGCATATTTACACAATTCAACGTTACAACGCGTTTTACGTAATGCTGATGTACCAGTGATAAACACGCGAAATAACTTGATATTGCGAAACACGTGATAAAAGTCAACCGGAGAAAAACTACAGAAGCATTTAAATTTAGTATTATCCACAAGTCCATTCTGTATAAGTACATGGTTTCTCTTAGTTATGGCTGCAAATTTTATAACTAATATGGCATATTTTATTGTAGCGTGAAATGCAATATATTCACTGAGTGTGAGCTGAAGTGAAGAGTATCGCAGCACATTTCATCCAATATTAACTAAGTAACTATACACAGGCGCTTCCGGTCGCTTTTTAACAGTTCTTTTAATATACACCTAAACATTAAAATGAAATGAGACACGTGGTTTTGTGTTTTAAATAACTGTTATTGTTACATGTATTTTCTAACAACCCTTTATTATTATTATTATTATTATTATTATTATTATTATTATTATTATTCAGATAGACAGCTATATTACTAGTCATTCAAGAATGAAATCGAAGCACTGCAAAACAGGTAGAATCTCTGACTGTGGAATGTGGAAATACCGCTCGCCCTGTCACTGCTAATGAGGATATACGGGGGTAATCCTGTGCCAGGCGAAGACAGCAGGCTCAGTAACGCAGCCTGGAAACAGAGAAGAAAGCAGTGCTTGAAAAAATTAAACGGCTGTTGAAAGTTTTTACGAAAACTACTTTTGGACCGAAAGTCTCCATTTCTATTACCACGTACTTTACCGGCGAAAGAGTGTTGAACACACCGTTAGAAAGAATTTAATTATATAAACACAACTGTACTAATGCCAGTGTGTCCCAAAAGGCAATATGCCTTTACCTAGAATCATAGCATATTTACCAAAGTTATTTTAAATTTTAAGCTACGTAGCCTAAACAAAATGTGGTTAGCCTACATTTTCATTCCCTTTCATTTTCTCCCTCTATCTATCTATCTATCTATCTATCTATCTATCTATCTATCTATCTATCTATCTATCTATCTAATTATTATTTGATCACCCAACACTCACCCGAGCCTCAAGTAGATGATAGCCAAACAGAGGAGCACGTAGAGAATGCACTGCCTAAGGGATCTGTGCATGATCTTAACAACCCCGATGACCAGCCATTCACTAAGCAAACGTGCTCATGTCTCTGCTCATATAAGGAAGTCTACAGAAGCGATTTTGGTATCAAATGCGCCATTGCGTGAAATCTGTGCTCCTTTCCAATCCATGTCCAGGTGCGTCCAGCCGAAGAGCTTAAACCACGGGAGTGAGTCGATGAATTTCTCTTATTAATAGCCTCTTTCCTCAAAATGCAGCAAACCGACGCGTTTTGCTTCTCATGTCCCTCCAGATAAAACGTAAAACTTCTCCGCTGCCATGGAGGATGTGTCGCCTGTTGTCCCTGACATATGTGCTGCAGTCCTTCTCATTTGACGACATCTTAGATTCTTTTCATGTAGCTGCAGGTATTTTAAATCCAGGTAGCAAAAAGGCCCCCTTTTCCACGCCCCCTGTTTTGAATCATTGTGTATATTCAGAAGCGGGGATGGGCCCCCGAGTTAGATAGCTACATATGAGGCCTGCATGTGTCCAAGAACCTTATTATATCATTCATTCGTACGATCTTTTATCTTAATTGCCTATAGGCCTAATCGAAGTAAAATATTAATATTATTAACATGCTTTTGATTATTAGGCCTACTTATTTGTTTCCCGGTCTAGGAAAATATTTTCTCTAATAGCAGATTGTGTTACATGTATTTTCCTGTACAAGCCGATCAAGAAGTGCACATAAATATGTCTATTGTACTTGAAATACATTGCAACGACTGTACGTCTAAACAACTGTTGTTCAGACTTGCATGTCATTTCAATCAGTAAAATTATTTCAACATAATTCAGGCTTTAATGTATTTGTTTTTTCCCCTTCGGCAAGCAAGCTTGACTGAACACGAAGAGCAACTGCAAAGAAACGATTGGACTTTAATGATAAAGGAGAATTTAAAGGAACCTGCTTTGATGTTACGAGGCGGACGGAGCATTACCGGTCTCCCCCGTGTGGCGTGCTTCGGCATCGCCGCATTATTACCGGCCAGTGCTCCAAATGATGCGCCTAAAAAAACCAAGGTATCCACAAGCCCATGCTTGTGAGAACAATAAGCTATATAAACCAAAATTAAATTTGAAAAGCGCCCTGAAAATAAAGTTTTGGTTATTAGATGAAATCAGTCAAGGACTTACTTAAATAATGGTAGGACTCCATTATTTCCATTTATAGTCTAACATCCTAGTATGAATATGCGTGTGATTTATTTGTTTGTCTGTTTGTTTATTTATTCCAGCTATCTACCTATTTTTTATTATTTATTTGCTCTTTTGTTTGTTTGTTTGGTTTTACAAACTGAATTTTCATGCCCAGAAACATCCAAATACATAAATGAAACCAAGTTTAATCAGCATTTACTACGGGTATGTTTAAAAATGGTCCTGCTGTTTTGAATAGGCCTACAACATAATCGTTTTCTTTTGACAGGGTACAGATTTAAAGCATATTTCTCTTCAGCTGTACTAACCAGACAGTTATCCTATATGTCTCATGTACACTGTGAGGTATTTACAGAGTGCAAAGTGAACTGCATGTTCTGTACAGCTTACGAGTTTTTAGTTCTCCCCTTTTGACTCCTTTAAAAGAATAATATGTGTATATGAGTGAAATATAGACATTGACTTCTACACTTAAGATCTAGATTCTGGTGATTTATAACTCAGTGCTAAATAAGTCATGAAATGAATTTTTTATGGTTGGGACATATATTGCAACATGTTACATTTTTAGCCAATTAGGTTTATTTCTCAGGCTTTGTTTTATGTTAGCATGTGCTGTTAACATTTTTTTTTTAAAAGAGGCAAACAGTTTCAGTAGTTGCAACAAAAGTCCCAGAGACAAACACTACTAGCCCGTAGACACTGGGTATTGTTATTTGCGGACAAAAGGCAGACATGGTCACAAAAAAACTTTGCTGAAACAGACCAAACTTCAAAAGTGTTCACATCAAAAAACTAACATCAATGGGTTTTTTGAAGTAATAAAATTTTACATCAATTCCACAGGGGTTGGAAATAAAGAAGACCATATTTAATGCTTTTGTTGAAAAGATGTTCTTTGCGAATAACAGCTTGATTGCCTTAAAATGTGAGCCACAGGGGAACTGGATGAGAGTTGTCCTGTTTGGTTTAATTAAAACGTTCAAAGACAATTTTTTTTAATGAAGGCTGTTCCTCAGAGCGAAGGGGCGGAGTGCATCTGACCACGGACCTGCCGTTGTCATTGATGCGGACACACAGGGTCCTTTACGGATTATGGAAACACATGCAGAAATTTCAAAGGGGTAAATGTTTCAATTTCTCTCTTATGGCATGCGCAGAATGGCAAGACTGGCCTGGGATTAAATTTTGGCCCTTCTCAGTTAGCTGAGTTAACAAAAGCTAGAAGTAATGACTGGTCAATTAGAGCTTAGGTAAGGAGCAATCCTGCTGGACAATCATGCCAGCTGGCCAGTCCAGTCCTGCAGACTGACATAATGTCACATCATTTTGTTTTGAAGAGGAAGAATAGAAGAAGAAGAACAATAATAATAATAAAATATGAATAAATAAAAATAATTTATATTATTCTGATAGACATTACTTTCAGGGTGTACACCTGCCTTGTGCTCAGTGCTTCCTGGGACAGATTCAGGGTTCTCTGGATCTTGATCTTCCTAAATAGAGACAATAACAAAAGTCTGCCATCTTTAGGGTTTCATTATTATAATTATTAATTGTTATTTGTGTAAGTTTTGTTCAGGCTGAATTTCATGACCATGTCAGCCTGCTTAGGTGACAAAAGCCTAGTTTCGGTTTGATAAAGTTTTGCTGTCAATTGTGGGGTGGGGGGGGGGGGCGGGGGTGCAGAAAAGACTGAGTCTAAGTGTCAAGGCAATTCTGCTTCCATTAGAAAGCTCATGGAGAGTTTTTGGCCTCAGGTCACCCTCAGCAGAAGATGAGCTGCCAGATTCAGCTGGCCTAACCTCACACTCCAGGGAGTCCTCACAAGATTGAACGTTTCTGTGCTGGACTGCACCGATCAAAGCACCATCACTGTATGCTGATGAGCAAACGGGTCGGAACTCCAGACAGAAAAGTCTGCTTCTTCTCATTTTCATCTCTGTAAAGCCTAGGGAGAAAAAAAGGTCAACCAGGCCTTTTTTATTTGGCAGGTACCGGCAAATACATCTTGCCGTCTTTTTAAATATTATTAAGTAGTCTTGACCGAAAGCTAAATAAGAAAACCCACCAGGCATTGCACTGTTTGTGTGGGAGTCCTTTCAGCTGGAAGGAAGCTTCCGCAGTCCGACGGTATGGACCTGCGCAGGAGCCAAACCAGGGAGAGGGGTTGGGGCCTGCCACATCCACACAGGGCCCCAAGTGGGAGGGCACTGGTGGAGAAGGGCAGCGTGGGGGTCAGGGGGGGGGGCTCTCCTCTCCAGCTTCACGGACCGCTGCCTCCCTTTGGCTCACTTGTGTTCTTCTTGGTGAGATTCCCCGGATATTATGGGATTTTCCTTATGGTTGGGATGTCTCTCCAGCAAAGTACCATCAATTCGGCTGGGACCTGGTGCACGATGCAGTTGGGATATCGTGAGTGGATTATAGGAGTGGTGCTTGTCCTGGAACATTCAGTATCTGAATTACTGGAAAACAAAGGTGGTATTTAGTAACTGGAATGAAAAGCAAAACAGTTAAATTACCTAAAAGCCTGGATTAGAAAACTAATACTAATACTAGTACTTAGTGAAGCACTTATTTTACATAATTCCATCATTTGTTCTTGTTCATAATATA